CAAAGGAGAGCAAGCGCCCAGGGTGGTCACAGAGTCTGGCACCTCTGAATGGATTCAGGTGATTGATCAGCCTCAGTCAGAATGAGAGGAAAGCTTGACAGCACCAGGTAGTAAATCCATATAAATTAACAATTCAACATACTCTCCCATCATGTTTTGGAGCAGGCCAGTCCTTCATTTCATAGAAACAGAGAGTCATGGGGTGGGAAGGGGGCCTCAAAGGCCATCGAGGCCAACCCCCTGCTCAGGGCAGGGATCCAAATCAAAGCAGATCAGACAGAAGGTGGTCTCATTTTCTCTGGAATGCCTCCAGCATTGGAGCGCTCACCACTTCTCGAGGGAGGTCATGGGTTCCACTGTGTCTTGGCCCTTTGGTGTGACAATAACCATAACGATAGGGGGTAAGGAAGGAAGTTCCTCTTTCTTGGGATATTTCAAGACTTCCAGATTTCTCTTTTAAACACACACTCAGCCACCCTGCCATCCCATGCAGGCTTAAGGGCACCAAAGCACTTGGGCAACCAATTCATGGAAGCCGATGTGGTGGCAAGTAGTGAGAGGGCCAGACTGCTCTCTGAGCGATCCCAGTTCTACTTCTCACAGAGCTAGGAAGACTTTGGTCTAGTTACGCTCTTTCACCCTGACGGAACTGCTCCATGGATAAAGTGAGAAGACCTTTAGCTCATTGTGGGGGGGAAAGACATGATAATAAATATAGCTGAGACATAAATTAGAATCAATTTTGCATAAGCCTCTGCCTGCAAATGCATGCAGATGTTCTTGATTATTTGGTTAGAACAGAAGAGAACAGAAAAGGAGGGGAAAAGGAAAGACAAGAAGAAAAAGTCTTCCTTCCTCTAACCAATGATTGCAAAGATGCTGAAATAACTGAAATTTAGTAGCCAATTAACTTTTATGCCATCAATATTTCATGCATGCAAAATAACTGTAAATGTTTTAGGCTAAGCTGTATTTATGTTCTGGCTGTGTTGCATTGATCTCTCTGTCCCTCCTGATGCCTTCGTCAGCTCCCCTGCTGCAAAATTCCTGGCCGCACGCCAGGGCAGAATGATTTACTAGCCCCTCTCTGTGGTCCGTTTATGGGTCTGAAACATACAAGGCAGGAGTGCGTGCTCAGGATGTCTGAGGAACCCAGGCACCGCTCAACCGCACCAGCCGCCGTTCCAAGCCTGCCGCAGTCGTGCTTAATAATGTAGGAGGTGCTGGACTGGGGGGGAAAAGGCTTTGTGCGGCATGGTTGGCAACGCTGCCAGAAAGGGAGAGGTGCGAAGTGGGCCACTGAAAAGGTTACTTGGGGACCTTCAGTGGACATGGATCACAGTCTACCTTCTATCCAAACCAGCTGGGCTGAGATCAGCCACAAATCTTGTTAGAAAAGACTTTACTGATTCACCAAAAGGCAGCCTTCTCTTTGCTTTTCAGCAATAAAACAAAATAAAACAGCAAAACAATATATCACTTCTGCTCTACCTGTTATTCCCAACATGTTCCTAATGCACAGAAGCCCATCAAAAACTCCCAGGCACTGTGGGTTCTCTGAAGGGAGTTCATCTTGCAAGTCACTCCTCATCTGTTCTCCCTCCCAAATCAACCCTCGTATACACAATTGTCGGCCTCTCATTCACAGCTGACGTCAGCTGTTGTTCCCCCCAAAGATCACTTATGGGAAAGTAATATTAATGGTTCAGCATGGGAGGGGGGGAAATAAAACAAGTTCTCTTTGCATCGCTTGCACCTCTGACAGCGGGTGCGGAAAAACAATGGGCAATCTGGGTGGACGACATAATATTTATCATGTTTAAGGGGATCTGTCAAAGTCCTATTAATGTTCTGAACTCCTGGGGCCTTTACAGAGCAAAAAACTGTGAGAGGGGCGATCAGTCAGGACCACATGTGATCACACACCCAGCTTTTGGTGCAGCAAAAAGCCTTTCTAATAAGAAAGAAGAGGGATGAGTGTCCCAAATAATCAAGGGAAGGTCTCTGGATTCTTGCATAAAGTGGCCTAGCTGAATAGGGTCCCATTTATTACAAAGAGCCCGATAGGAAGGAGGGCACCTATCCATAAGAGGAGGGGAATAGGCAGCACCCCTCAGAGTAGGCCTCATCCACTTGAATCCAGAGATCTGCCTTGAACGCCTCATGCACAGGGATACAGCAATTTGCATTGTGTGAGCGGCAGAGTATTTCTGGACCTCAGTGACAATTCTAGTGTATTTCAGATCAAAAACATCTTTTGTTCTTTCAGGGGGTGGTGTTTTTTTTTATTAATCCCAATGGGCATTCTAATGTCCCCATCATGGAAGAAATTGGGGTTTCTCCTGAAAAGAGGCCATTCTGATTTGGCAAAACACACCTCAAGGTGTTTGTTGTCCTAATATATCACAGTTGTTGTCTGTCTGTGCCAACAGGTCATTTACGAATTATGGAGACCCTAACAGGGTTTTCAAGGTGTGTAGGATGGTCAAGGAGTAGTTTACCTTTGCTGCTTGCCAGTGAATTTCTGCGGCTGGGTGGGGATTTGAACCCAGGTTTCATGAGTCCTAGTGTGTCACCACTCAGGCTCTCACATCACACTGGGACAAAATAAGTACATTCCCACAAATTATTGATTTCACTATGTCATAAGGGGGAAGAAAATCCCTATACAGTGGTGGCTTGCAAGACGATGATAATCCGTTCCACTGAAATCGCTGTTTAGTGAAATCATCGTCTAGCGAAAAGCATTTCCCCACTGGAATGCATTGAAACCTGTTTAATGCATTCCAATGGGGAAGAATCGTCGTTGTCTAATGAAGATCGGCCATAGGAAAGTCACTTTGCAAACCGCCGATCAGTTGTTTAAATAGCTGTCTTGCGAAGCTTAGGTCCCGAAAACACCCGTTCTGCAAACACGGAGGGAGCTGTAAAAATTGTTGTCTAGCGAAAATTGGTTTGCAAAGCAAGGACCAAACATTGTCCAGTGAAATTCCCCCATAGGAATCCCTGTTTTGCAAATCGCTGTATTGATCGCAAAAAGTCAATGTCTAGCGAAAAAACTGTCATGCAGGGTAACTGTCTAGCGAGGCACCACCGTACACAGCCAGTGGTGAAACTTATACTTTACAATTTTCAAGCAATTACATCAAGCACAGAAAGGTGGAGTTAGAAGGCATCTTTGAGATATCTAGTCCCAACCCCAGGAATCTTGCAACTGCAAAAATCCATGACAGCCAGCCAGCTAGCCTCATAACCCTTTTTTTAAAAAGCCCCACCAAAATGCTGTGTCCTTTTCCTTTTCTAGGATCAGGTGGGCTCTAGTAAGAGAGGATACCATGGACTGCTATCTAATCAAGCACAGTCTAAGCACAAAGCATCAGAAAAGGGTGGATGCAGAGACAGTCAATGAGCAAGCCATGGTTTGATCCAGTCCAGCTAAAACAAGCCAGGTAAGGAAGATTCAAAGGCAGGGTCAAATGCAGTGCAAGGTTTTTTTCACACCTTTTCACACCTTTTCCCTGCAGTTGCTGGAGCATTCATGGGTATAAGGCAGATCTTTTTCCTTAGGTGCTATCTCCTTTTAAGTAACATGCCTTAGCGCAGGGCCCACTTTACTATTGATGTCTCTAAGACACTCCAGGAACTTTTGTTTTGTTTTGTTTTTTGCTAAAAGGCATGGGGAAAATATATACACCCATGTAATGTACTAGGAAACTGTAAAGTGCACTGGCTTTTCTGGTTCAGCAGCCTCGTGGATCCCATCCTCTCCTAATGATGCCTGTCATTCTCTAATCACAAGTGTTTAATTAGGAGAAAGTTCCTTCTTTGTAAGGCTAGCAAAAGTCCTACTGATTATGTCAGCATAACTTTGAAGGCATAAACGTCAGGAGCAAATTGCCACTAATTAACAAGTCACTGCTTTTGTGCCTGGTTGCACACCAAGTTGCATGACTGATACAAAACAAGGGGTACAAGCAGTAACTTGATAACTAGGGGCAACCTGCCACTGCCATTTATGCCACAGCACTTACACTGGTGTGTACATAAGCAATAAGATTCTGGCTGATATGTTTTAAGGGATCAGCTGCATCAACAGTCATGCAATAGAAGGAGCTCTGAAGAACATAAGCTTCCTTTTGCATAAAATATAAACAAGGGAAAAGAAACCTACCTAGGAATAGAAATGCCAGAACCTGACACAAACAAGAGGCTTCCCCAGAGTAGCTGCCTTTTTCCAACCTCAGCTGCTCTTTAGAGGCAACGGGGAACTGTGTGGGTGTTTGTGTTTACAAACAAAAGCACACTGGATCTCTAAAAATACAATTGGATTCATCAAAGTACGACTCAGTCGCTAATAGAATGAGTCACACTAATGGGAAAAGCCATCCACCGCGTATGCAAAACAAACCAACCAGAGTCTCCACCTTGATAATTGTGTGGTGCTGCAGAAAACCTGCTCATAGTGCCTTGCTTGCGAAACAGCAGCCGGACTTTTACTGGGATTTTAATCTAGAGAAGGGGAAATCACATAAGCCACAGCAGCTAATTGTAGCTAATTGACCAGGTGTCTGCTGCATGCCTGGTTGTTAATTTGCTACAGTTTGCCACAGTGACGTATTCTTTAATATAATAATATAATAATCCTTGAATTTCAGAGCTGAAAGGGACCCTAAGGATCATCAAGTCCAGCCTGGGTCAAGGAGGCCCAGTGGGGAATTGAACTCAGGATCCCTGCAGTCAGATGCCTTAACCACAGAACTATCCAGCAGTTCACAGACTCCAGAGTAAAATCCCACAAGGATTCTGGCCATCAAAGGCTAAGAGGAAATGCAGCATTTCTCTTTTTTTCCTCGAGCATAATTTAAAGTTGAGTCTAGTTTTTAGACAAAACTCATGGCATTTCGGAACTGCTCCGGTGGGTTGTGCCCTTTTGCCGAGGTCTCCACTGAATCAACAATATTTGAGAAAGAAGAGGAGAATAATATTTTTTTAAAAATCACCTTCTTGAGATCTTGCTTCTGGCCAAGTTTCCCAGACGAAAGGGTGGTAACTGTAAAATTATTTGGGTCTTCGCAGTCACGGATCTTGGATTCCTTGATCAAGGTGTCCAGCTTCTTCTTTGCTATGTTCTCCACCCGCTTCCGGTTGGAAGAGGCCTATGAGCAGGGAAAGTGGGGGGATCAGACAAAGAGCGGAGGGAGGAACTTTGGCTTCACTAACTAGAGCCCAACAATGACTAAAGCATTAAAAAGAGAAGGGAATAAAGAGGAAATAACTTAACAGCAACAATAAAAAAATGCTCCACCTTTGTTCTAAACAGATTATTATACTATCTCATGCTAATACTCGACTGGCAATCTCATGGGACATATCCACATGAGAAGCAGAAATGTTGGTTTTATACCAGTGTAATAGTTGCGCCTTCGTCTCAAACAATCCAGTGAGTTCTAATTTGCTGGAAAATGCTGAGTGTTCTTTTCTGTTTGAGATTCAATGTCTTCCCTCCCCAACAGGAAGGACTGTTAAATTGGTTTGGGTTTGCATTGCAAAGACGACTCATATTTTGCTACATTACACCTCAAACCATCATTCTACTTGCTTTGCTACTATGGTGTAATATCTTCTCCATGCTGAGACATATGTTTTTGAATGCTCTTGAACTAAACAAACTCACTTGGAAAGGTGCCTTAATTTTACTACAAATAATCACAGATGAGTGGAATTGCTAAACAGCGGGAAACCATCTACAAAGTTATTTTATGTAACTGGGGGTAAAAAATAAAAGAAGAAAACAAAAGAAAATTAGAAAAATGTGGGGGAGCTACTATTAACAACAACATGGTTTTGTTACCAAGCCAGCATGATTTCTCCTTGAGATCGCTAGCATCAAAATAAATTTTCAAAAACCAAGGATGAAGGAATACGTCAAGAATTTTGGAGTCCTCCCTTTCTTACCAAAAACCACTAGTTTTGACAGTCGGATGTTTGTCCGTTGGAGGACTTTCCCTTGTTTAAAAAATGGCAGTCATCAATGCGGGCTATAGCATTAATTCTCGGGTGCCAAGCAGCTGTCATCCTATAATGTGAGCAGCCACTATGGTTTTTAAAAGCCTTTTTTTTTTATTTAAGGATAAGGAATTTTTAGCAGAAGAGAGGTAGATGGGATAGTAATGAGGTAAGTGCTTGCTAAACCCTTTGATACAAACCTTTCATAATTTATGGATGACAAAGCTCTTCCGAAACACTGTCAACTGCGGTTTCTTAAACGACATTTAGTAAAACAGTGAAGATGCAGTAACTGGGTCTCATCCTCCTTTTAATAGTGCCTTGCTTAAAAAGTCCTACTAAAACAACTTTTTTTTGTTCTTTTGTCTTTGGATCCATAGTTGTACAACCATTCCTACCTGTCTCAAGGTTTGAGCTTTTGATATTTCCATTTTATTTGCACTTTTTCTCTTTGGACCTGTTATAACATATCATTATAGCTATGCTGTTGGTTTTCAGGTGATGCTTGTTTCATTTTAGTTGACATTAGTTAGTTTAGTTTCAAGTTAGTTTGCTACATAATATAAATTTTTAAAAATGTTATAGTTGCTTTGTCTTTAAAGAATAATGCAAAATGACTGCCCCCTGCTGGCTCCCAGTTGTCATTACTGGATATACAAAGACAAAAACAGGAGTTTATTCAAAGGGAAGAAGAATGAAGCAAACTAAAATTTCTCTTCCACTATGATGAGCAACATTCGGTAGGCAAACCATGGCTTTTGTCCTACCATTGTGCTCCTTTTTGAGGTGTAAAACCATTATTAAGAATGCCTTAATTTATACATTAAGCAAGTCCAGAAATGAAAATGATAAGGATAGGTTAGTGAGCAACAGGCAATAGTTCTGAGGCCTATCCAACTAACATGAACTCATCACATTGAATAGGGCCTATCCCCAATATTTTTGACTCTTGTGGGATTTTTAAAAGCTATTTTTGGGGGGCTGGTATACTCAGGAATCAGTGTGTTAAGGCCCTCAGCCTATATTTCTTCAATCATATGAAGATAAGCCACAAGGAGGACCTTTTAACATTGGTGGGGGATAATTTGAACACTGAGAACAAATATTTTCTGAATGTTTATTTGCTTTTATGGGCCATTTTGGAGACTTTGTGTGGATAGCATCATATTAAATGTGCCCTAGTTATAGGTTACATAGCTCATAACACACAACATAAGAATTTTATTTCTTATTGGTGGGCTGTAACTGGTGGGCATGTGTACTTTGGAAAGAACACAACCTGTGCTTTTCTTAATTGGCCTCAGAAGACTGCAATTAATGCCAGGAGAAAACAAGCCGTCATTTTCCTCACTTTTTAAGTGTCGTTCAAGAACAGGGCCAGTTGCATACATCTGGAAATCCAGATGTTCTTTACAGAATGTCAAAAGAAACACAGACAAAACAAATTACAACCTAATGAAGACAAAGATGTGCCATCAAACGAGGCGTACATCAGCCTCTTCTTTTAAAAAAAAAAACTAATCAAAGGGAGGGAGGGAGGAAGGAAGGAAGGAAGGCTGGCTTGTTTCACCCAAACACTTCCAACAACTTTCCTCCAAGACTTTTTCGGAGGGACAAAAAATAAATTTCAACATATCTCAACACTCAAGCCCAGTGTTTATCTTAAGCCTGGAAAGATTCACAGCAGCAAAACAGAAATGTCTGAACTGATTTAATGATTTCTTCAGCTTTTCTCTAGTGTTTGTCTAAACTTAATCAATCTACTTTTGCCTTTTCATTGCCTTTTTCTTTTATTTATTGACACCATCAATCACCTTGAGTCCCACCTTTGAGAGAAAAGTAGAATATAAATACAATAAATAGATGAACAGGAAAGCGTTTGGAGAAGACCTTCAAAAGGTACAGCTTAACCTGACTTTTTCCATTTTGGCGCATTTGCTCGACAACCAGCAACCAGCCTGCAATTTTTAAAATTTCATCCCATCTCAAAGCACCCGCGGTTTGGTAACAGAACAGTTTGACTTTTAAAGCTAAGCAGACTAAACTCTATGACCGACAATCTGCTTCTACTGTACCTTCCACTTCAAAAGGATGTGATGGTCAGGCAAGAGAGGAAGACAAAAAACAAAAAGCCATTAAAGGGGAGATCAAGTATCACAAACACCTCAAGAAGGACACGTTAACTGAGAAAGGCATCTTTTAAAGAGAAGGTCATCATCTTCTCCTTTGGAACAAAGGCTTTAAAAGCTTCCACCACTACAGTCTCCAGTTGCCAGGTGCAGCAGAATCATGTGATATATCTTTTTCATGCATCTTTTCAGGTGATGGTGAGGACTACCTTTCTGGATGTCTTTCTCTGTTCCTCATTCTCTTTCATGCACACACATCCCCATTTTAAAAAAAAAAACTATTCACCCCCTACACACAAAAACAAGGTGGCACCTTCTGACATGCTTCAATTGTTATGTTATGCAAGGCTTTTAAAAGAGCAAGTGAACATATAAAGATGCAGTGCTCTTCCCCACCACCTTTAGAGATCCAAGCTACAAAAAAAGCTTTATCTCCACAGCCTCCAGAAGGTACAAAGTCACAATCAATGATGGCAGCAAGCAACAACCAAAAATAGCCCAGCAAATGTTAGAATTAAGGAAGGGTGCAGGAAAAGTAATAAAAGCACTATAATTTTCCTTCGGTTTTCTTGGTGATGCTGATCAAGGAAAGCTTGGGAAAGGGGTCTCAGAAGCGTGAGAGCTTTCCAAACGTGTCTACGTTCCAGAAGGGGGAAGAGCTATGTTTTTTGCTCTGTTTCTAAAGAAACATTCTAGGGGCCGGGAAATGCTGGCCATCAACCCATGGTGACCTAGGTGTGCTGTAGCCGCCAACATCAGCATTACAGAACATGAGCATTTATGCACACATATTGAAAAATGTCTGGCCAGAATCCTGTTGGATTTTACTGCACATGTTAAGGGCGACTATGCAAGTGGTTTGAGTTTGTTGTTGTTGGGTTTTTTTTGCATTTTGTGGGCTCTCTGTCATATGCCCAGTTGCCTGATGGACTGCGCAAACAAGACACCCTACAAGACAGCACACGCTGCTTGTGCAGTTATTCCTCTTGCAACTCAGTGAACCCAACAGGATTCTGGCCTGTGATACATAAGACACGCCTGTCGCATGTGTCTACATTTACGCAACTACAGATAGACGCACAATGACATACACATGCATCTATCTATGTCCAGTGTAATCTATTATTTTAAAAAAATCCTGTTTATTTAACACCAGAGTTGAGGCTGTCTCATGTTCATTCACGCTCCACAATGCCAGGAATGAAAGGTAAGGCTGGCAGCTTAACAGCCATGCCCAATGATAAGGAATGATAGTCAGCAATGTCACAAACAGTGCTTGCTTACGACTAGCTGTCCTCTGTGAACCCACATTTCCCCTTGGTATTTCACGTCCAAATCTCAATGGGTGTGGATGAAGTGTCTGGGAGAGCAAAAGAGGCCCCACCCTTGTCCTCATCCTGTATCGCCTTTCTGTCTCCTCTTGGTCTTCTATTGCCTTATGGAGCATCTAAGCCTTAACTGTGTTGTTTGATACATCCCTTGTGGTGGGGGAACCTTGCACCTCAGAATTTGGCAAGAAGAATAACCTCAAGTTATGATGTTGATGCAGTTGAAGATGTCATGCAGTTCTGACCAACAGGAAGAAAAGTTAGAGGAATTTAGTTGATTTCACATCACAAGGCCGTGGGAGGCTGTCAGAGTAAGAACTGAGCCTTTATGCCATAATAATCACCGGTATCATCTACCATTAGGTTTAATGGGGCATAAAAACCATAATCACTATTGAAAAACCACTCAGGATTGTATCAAACTGACCAAAGCCTGGAGTACATCAGTGGTTTCACCCCAAATGGAAAGAAATACAGGATGTGCCTGTTCAAAAATTAGAAGAAAGGGGCTCAGTGTGTAAATTCTCAGCATTTTAAACTCAGCTAGGGCAGTCTTTGTCAGAACAGTCTGAAATCTGACATCCGGTTAGACCTTATCAAATGAATATGAGATAACAAGTTTCACATTCCTAACTCAAAAGATGACATTAAAAAAGTATTGAGGCTTATTAGGGTGGAATGTTTTATTCTGATTCTCCTTAGCTTATGTGACTTTTAAATATTAAAAAAAAAATTATATTTAAAAACCATTATAGAGCCTCGTGGTGCAGTGGTTAAACTGCTGTACTGCAGCCAAAACTGTACTCACGACCTGGGGTTCAATCCCAGGTAGCCGGCTCAAGGTTGACTCAGCCTTCTATCCTTCCGAGGTCGGTAAAATGAGTACCCAACTCGCTGGGGGGGGGCAATGTGTAGCCTGCATAATTAACTTGTAAACCACCCAGAGAGTGCTTGAAGCACTATGGGGCGGTATATAAGCAGCATGCTTTGCTTTTGCTTTGCTTTATGTATACTGTATTACTTTTTGTACATTATTGAATTTTTTGTAACAAACCACTTTCCAATGTTCTAAATAGTAAAAAAAAACACGCTTTGCTTTTGCTTTGCTTTATGTATATTACTTTTTGTACATTATTGATTTTTTTGTAACGAGCCACTTTCCAATGTTCTAAACAGTAAAAGATTTTCACTTTCAGAAACCAGTTCTGTAGATCTGCACCGTTAACTTGCATTTCCTTTTTTTTAAAGCTTCTAGACCTCTTGTTTGCCAGGAAAAGTTTTCCAAATATCCTGAGACACTGGGGGAAAAGATGACGACTATCCCTTTACTGGGTGGAATGTCTCAATGGGTCATATATCAGTCTTCAAATGTACATTAGAAGCATGTTTGGCAGAAGGAAGAGGAGAACAGAAAGATTTGGGGCTTAGCTTTTTCTTTTTTTGGGGGGTGGGGGACAGAGGTTTACAAAATCCATGATTGCCATCTTTGGTGTGGACTTCCCTGGCTGTGACATATTGTAGATTCTACTAAGGAATGGCTGGTTTGCACTGTGAAGAATAAACATCTATGCTAATCTATTGTAACCAAAACCATCTGAATGTGACAAAAGCATTTGAAAAGGTTCAATTATGCACCAGCAGCATGACCATCCAGATCTATGAGCACTGCTGCTCTTATGAATGCCCCTTGTGTCAGCACCTCAAGGCCTTTAAAAGCCGTCCTGCCTGTCTTGCCACTCCACTAAAAAATGGCCCAGTTGAGGAGGAACAAAGGAATGGAATGGACATTGCCACCAAAGTCAGAGCAAAACACAGACTCCAGTCCACTGGAGGTGGGCGGATGAGTTGCAATGGGGTCAGTAAATTGTCTCAGGAGAGCTCTCCATGGTGCTGACTTTTTGGTTTATGATTTGTCACTTTGGATAGCTCTTCAAACTAAAGCCTGGAGCGTGCACGCGCGCACACACACACACACACACACACACACACACACACACACACACACACACACACACACACACACACACACACACACACACACACACACACACACACACACACACACACGAGGTGGGAAACATTGTTGTGTCCTACATACAGCAGCCTGGCTATCAACAATGTCGGGACCGGCTTTGATTTTTGATGCCAGAGCTTGGAAATGTTAGCTTTGGCCTTGGTAGCTTAGGGGATTCTTGGACTTGTAGTCCTCCTTCCATAGCCATATATTCCATGACTTCCTACAGAAGCTACTGAAGCTTTTTGTTATCCCCACATCTGGCAGCAGGGACTTCCATAGATTAACTACAACTCATAGCCTATGAGCTATGGGGCAATATATACTTTTTCTGATGTTTGCAGCTCTCTGCTGCACCATTCCAGTTTTACATCTTCATAACCTAAATGGCCCTAGATAGTCAGGGTTGGGCATCCTATGTCATTCAGAATAGATGAGGGCTCCACAAGGAATCAGCAAAAGGGTGCAGTCTTTCTCGCGTGTAACATCTTCATCCCATTCTCCCTCTCTCTCAAAAAAATTTTTTTGCTCCTTTCTTTGGCTTGTTGTTCACTACCACCAACCTCAACTCTTGTGTTCCCCTTCCAGTTCTGCACCACAGTACTTACATCTCCATTCATTAGTTTGCAGTCGTCCTCAATTTCGTCTGCACTGTCCTCATCAGAAACTTCTCCTTCTTCCACATCCTCACTGATGTTGGCCGGAAGTTTCTTTCCCTAGAAGATAAAAGCATGACTAGAATGGTGGAGCAACACCCACTGGACATTTCATGCATCTTTAGCCTCATGATAACCTCTAAGGTAGGCTGAAGGAAAAGAATGACTAACTTTAGTTGCTCAATGAGCTTCATGGCTGAGGAGGGTTTTGAACCTAATCTAGATTGTTCCAGTCCCGGCATCTCAAAAACAGAACCTGTGCCTAATGTGGGAAATGATATATGTCTGACCCATGTTTATTGATTGATAATCACTACAAAATCCTGGAAATTGTTAGATCAAACAGTTGCTGCTTCATACACGAAAAAGGGCAGTTTATCCATTATGAGAAGAAGAAAAAAAATCAGAAGCAATTATCAAAACTCCATCTAAATGAATTGTGTTAAATGCGAAGGATCCTTGAAAAAAGCTGGTCTTGATCTTCTGCAATTCAAAATCCAGATATCAAGGAACGGGTAGCAGTAGACTTTTGGAGGAAATGAAAATCGGTTTGTTCCATGGCTTCAAGCAGTACATGCAATGCGCGTAGAGTGCAGAAAGGGGACAGGGTGAAGAATGTGATGGCTTGAAAAATGACGGAAAAACCAATCAAATGTTGAAAAACAAACTCTCTGAGAACACTCAAGGCTGTGACTCGCAAGGGGGACATAACCTGTCTCTGCTACAATCTTGGTTACACTGAGACGTCTAATAATAATAACAATAAGATTTATTTATATTGTGCTCTACCCCAGACTGCATTCCGATAAAAACCAGTTATGTACATACATGCTACACAGCATTTAACAACAACCTTAATATCATGTGTGTGTGTGTGTGTGTGTGTGTGTCTGAACAGCAACATAAAACCCAGAACAGGCAATGATCAAGAAGAATTAACCAACTGCTAAAAGGCCAGCTAAAAAGTTCAAATAAAATGGCCTCTAACCTCTCCCTACACCCAACACCAATTTCAGGTGTTTGTTCTTGTTGTTGCTTTACATCCTTATGAATCTCTAACACAGTGGTTCCTAATGTTGGGTACACAGATGTTCTTGGACTACAACTCCCAGAAGCCTTCACCACTTAGCTGTGCCAGCCAGGATTTCTGAGAGTTTTAGTCCAAGAACATCTGGAGATCCCAAGGTTGGGAGCCATTGCTCTAACAGAATCCTCCACATATTCGCTAAACTGCCATTCATAAGACTAATAGAGATGTGTGTGTGTGCAAGAGAGAGAGACAGACAGACAGACAGACAGACAGAGACAAAGCATACGAGAGCAGCCAAAGTACAGAGCTTTCCAAAGTTACTAGTTTTTTGGGGGGGACTACAACTCCCAGTGGCCATGCTGCTTAGGGGAACTTTGGAGTTATAGTCCAAAAGTCAATTTCTCTAGGCCATGTAGAACGAGACATAAAACCATTTGTCATTTAGCCTGAGTAAAAATGCCTGTCGCACAAGAACCATTCTTCGATGCTTCCCTTTTGTAGCAAAAGGGTATGGCTGGGCAACCCATGTCATTGCGTGTATCTGCTCTCGGTCGCTCTTCCCCAGAACGCTTGGTGTCTTGCGATATGGCATTTTTATGTTTAGAACCCCTTGGCCCTGCTGCTGTTCTGTGCCTACTGACTCTGATGACGGATTAGCCTTGAATAAGTAAAACCAGTGAAAAGCTTTTCTTGTTCGCAAATCTTGTCGTACACACACACACACACACACACACACACACACAGAGAGAGAGAGAGAGAGAGAGATCCCAATGTCTTGCAGTGTTACTCGCAGTCATTCCCCCCCCCCTTAGGCACTTGCCTGAACTCCATTAAACTACAGTCTATAAAAACTTCATGATTTTTTAAACAGAATTTCCCCATATGCATTAGGAGTAAGACAGCGCTAGTGCCCTGTATTACAGGTGACAAATTTAAGCTCTCAGGAGGCTTAACAGACTCACAGGTAACATCTGCATAGTGCTGGCGTAGGGAGTATTGGTGAGAGAAAACTATTCACCAAATACGTCAGTGGATCATGACTCTGGGATAAAACTTCACAGCGAACATTTTTACAGTAATAAAGGCATGCTGGGTAAGTGGTTGTGAGGAAAAGAAGGGGCCAAACATTGGACGATAAGGGGTCAGTTTGGTTTTGTGATTAGAACTACTGTAAAACCAGAAGCTTACTGTATTCTTCTCAAAGGCTTACTAGGGAGCAATCACATGGGGCAATCACTCTTCTGTCCTACTTGGAAAGAGTTGATGATTTTTAAATGTTCTTGATGAACACTCAAGAAAAGAAACACACCCTTCACTCTAAGAACCCGACACATTTCTTCAACGTTCTCCACCAGGTTTTGCTATAGCATGGAAGCCTTTTGTCTTACAACCTCTTTTATGAATATAGTGATCTATTTCAACATTTTTCCCCCTAAAACTACCGAGGCTTACCAACAAGTAAGTCGGCCAAGGAACTAAAGGCAAACTAGAGGTGAGATCTGGGCTGTGAATCCCAAATTACATGGTGGATATTCGGTGTGGCAGCATCTAGAAGGTGCTCACAAGCAGATTGTCACAAAACCCTGTGGCCGATGCTTCTTTTGGGTCATCAAAAACCAGGCACAAATCCTTGAGCTCCCTTAGGCTTCACAAAGCAATTTTTCTCTCTCTCTTTCAAGATGGAACAAGACAACAGGGTTGCAAAACAGATTCCCTTCATTGCAAAATTGCTGAAATATTCAGTTCTATTTTTTGACTGGCCAATTGGCCGACCATTTTCCTGTTTGATTTTTTTAAAAGAGTGCTCCATTTTGTGCGCGCCCCCCCGGTCCTAGGGGGTGGTTGAACTTTCTGCCCTTGTTCATCCTTGCTAGAAACATCAGACAGCTTGTAAATAGCTTTAAACCCCAACAATGCCTTTCTTCCCATCACTGCAGGGTGGGTATCTCAAGTCAGCCACTGCACCATCTAGCACCGACAAAGGAGGAAGCTAATAGGACCGTCTGGCTGATGCAGAGAAGAGGAACAAAAGAGGGCGGTGGGCACCAAAAAGCCATGTCCTAGGCTGGCTCTCCTGAGGGCAATTTCAAAAGCTGCACGGTACGTGGCATTAAGAGTTTGATTGACATGAGAAGGATTCCAGGGAGACACCAGAGTTCAGACACAGTCAACCATGCTTATTTATTTAGACCCAAACAAAAACATGAAAACAGCCATGGCAGTCTGTGCTTGTGTCAGTCAGCACAAAAAGCCAGGAGGAGCAGCTAAAACACGGCACAGTCAACTCTTCCAATCTATTAATACAAATGCAGGCTGGAAAAGGAACTATTGTTAACCACACCTCCTGTTCACATCAGAACAAATCTACATGTGTAGGGAGAGGGGGGAAAAGATATAAATTACCTTGACCAATATTTTGCCTTTGAGATTCTCCGGGGAAGGCAGCCTTGTGAGGTCTTCACTGCTCACCGAAGACAGGTCCAGCTTGTCTCCCAAGATTTCCGTCAGGTATTGGGCCATCTTTTTCTGCTGGGTGACGCTGCAGTGGTTCTCAATGGACAAAATGACCGGATATCTGATGGAGGGAGAACCACACAAGCAAGAAACGTTAAAGCGACCACTCAAGACTTTTAAGAACAAATTAAAACACACACCCAAGAAATGGTTAGAATCCTATTGTGGGTCTACACTGGCATGGTCTAAAACTGCAGCAGTTAATTGCTGCTAATTAGCAAATTGCCGCTCTCAACTCCTCCTTGTGTATTGCAGTAGGGTTTTGGCCGGTACATGTATAATAGTATTTTCTGTTCTGTTCTTTTCTCAGAACTAGCAACTAATAAACCCAGTGCCTCTCTACATCAGCAATCTGGAGTCCACAGAACTGGTTCCTGGGGACAATTTGAATGCCAGACCTGCAGTTGGGGAAGGTGGGTGGCTGGGGGCATGTTCCTTTTTTCTTGTTTTGGTGTTATTTCAAGTTCAAAGAAGATTATTTAGTGAAGCAGGTTTAAGGGAAATAAGGTAGGGGTATGATCTTTTAAATATATATATCAGAAGGGGTTATACATTGTTTTAAAAGCTGAGAAATGTTATCCTAAATCATTTGTTCTTTGTTGGAATACAGACCATACATTTTGGGATCTCAGGTCTGGGGATAAATATACAAGCATTCTTCATTTCTGCCAGCCTTCTGTTCTGTTTTTTGGGTCTTTTTCTGCTTGAGAATGTTGTTACTACTCTGCGTATTTAGAGTAGTGACTCCACAGACACACACATCGAGGAAGGATCCAACCGCAGCCAATTCATTAACCCTCTCTAATGACTTTTGACATCCCACTGCAAAGGGCAGGCCTTACAAGTCAATCAATCAACCTCTGGGGCTTGCTTTGTAGTTCTAGGTTCTATTTTTAGATTCTCCAGGCTGTGCTGAACACACTCAGTACAGTTGGGGATCATCAATACAGCGTTGAAAGACAGAGGATTCAAGGTGAGCCAACGAGAGATGCAAAAAAAAGAGGCTGTTGAAATTGTCATGATTTCCACAAAAAACTGGTACACCAATTCTGAAGCCCTGGTTGTTCCCTTCTATGAGACGGACCAGCCAAGTACAACAATGGGACCAATGACCTCAGGAGGTGGTGAGTGCTCCAATGCTGGAGGCATTCAAGAGAAATTGAGGCAGCCACGTAGCAGATCTGCTTTGATTTGAATTCTTGCATTGTGCAGGGAGTTGGATTCAATGGCCTTATAGGCGCCTTCCAATTAAATTATTCTATGATTCTATGATTCCAAAGCAGAATGAACATCAGTAGATGCTAATCAAGAGATACGGGTCTGAGCGACCCCAACTCATTTATCAATCATAGCTATGTGCTATCAAGTTGGTTCCCAAATATGATGATACTCCCAGGTTGTCTAGGCATTAAGTGCTTTGAGATTGTTCACCAGTCTCCCTTTCCAGTGGTGCTCTGGGAACACTGCACACCTTGCCCAGTTGGCAGGGTATGCGGCTCTGCCACACAAGCTTTGGGTGATCTTGGTTGGTCCATCTCCCAGAAGGTGAGTTCCCCAGAAGGGGATTCAAACTCTTGGGCCCTGGTTCAGCAGCCAGACACTCCAACCCCAGAGAGTTTGATCTGCACTTACACTTATGAACTCCATTACAATTTCCCTTTCTCACTGAATCTAGGTGAGACAAGAGCTTTGAGCACTCCATCACCACCATCCAAAGACCTTTATGCAGGGGCTCACTGAATCTAGGTGAGACAAGAGCTTTATTTGAGCGCTCCATCACCACCATCCAAAGACCTCCATGCCGGGATTCACTGCCTTCCATGTGCTGGAAAGGCAAACTTCTGAATCAATTTCAGTTTGTCACCTGGCAGACAAACTTCTGCTGATGACCTATAGGATCCATCATGTCTTCCACCAGTTCTGAAACCCATCATGGTCTGATGACAAGAATATAATCAACAACCCATCATTTATTCTCCCTGGGATGATGTCTCCTCTTTTTCCACTTCCCCTTCATTGTTCAATTCCTGAAAAATGGAGATCCATTGAAATACATACTCGCTTTTGATGAAGGCATACTTGTTAATGGTTTCAATCACATCTTTGAAAAGGATCTTGGAGGTCAGAGTATAGCCATGGTGGACAATTGGTTCTCCATCTGGACCATCCCAACAGTCAACTGCAAAAGAGATAACGAGAACCATACATTTGGAGTTCAGATCCACCCCTTGCACTTTTCTGTTTGTCTGCTTATTTTAAAGAAAAAAGGAAACTAATACAGAATAAGCAATTGATTAAAGAGGTGAATAATTAAGCAGGATTCTTTTGTTACTGTTGTTCTTAAAATTCGGCAATGTAATACCACACAGCAATTACACAGATGAACAAAACAGTAACATCAAATATCATAATCAAAGATACTGGTGTAACACTCCCTCAACAGCATAATAAACATTCTTGGATTCAAAACAAATTATCCAGTTTCTTAAGATAGTTTGAACACATTTCCATGTGAGCAAGGAGTGGAATTCATTTTGCAGCTCTCAAAGAACATTCTTCCAAAACCTACCATAAAAAGTTGGTCAAAAAACCCAAAAGGTGTTTCCCTTCATTTGAATGAAATATATATGGGTACAAACATCAGTAAACATATCTCTCCTTTTCAACTTCTTTTCTCAGAATTCAATAGAAGCCCAGTATGAAAACCAAATGATGATGCTGTACATTGATACATCTCACTCAGGACCATCTAGTCCAGAGAAGGAGAACATCCAGCCCTCAGAATCTAACCCACACAGAGATAGTGCAGGAGTGATCCAGGGAATGGTCCCCAAATGGTCCAAAAAATGCCATACCTTTTCCCAAAGCTGCCCCCCGTCCCCATGTTGGAAAGATTTCCCCTGCATGCAGCTTGTGTTCCCAATTGAGAAGCTGAGTTCTAGGTAGAGGGATTCAGTTGAAATAATCTAGTTTAGGAGGTAACAGGAGGCTCTCCCCTACTTGTTCACATTGTCAATGTGATGTCTGGAAATTCCCATACAACCTATGTCATGGTCTGGAGATAGGTCTGGGACTTCTCTCTATTCAATTGCATTTTCAAAAGACTTTATCAAGGCAGCAACTCAGACAACCTCTTATAGGAATCAAGAGTATGAGGCAACCTCCTATGACTGACAAGCAACCCTTTTAAGAAAGGAAGTAGATGAAACAAACACCCTATGGGCTGTACAGATTATTCCATAGTGAATTGGGGGTGGTGGTGTATTTTTAAAATGAGAGTTGGATGGCTGGCTTTAGTTGCCGCATCAGCCAAAAGGAGGAGAACACATGCTCTCTTCCTTTCCTGAGCCACCTTACCCACCATGCCTTGCTCTTAGGAAGAACCACCTTAAATTGAGATATTTGGACCTGGCAGACTCTTAGGAGGGCTGTACTAGTTTGTTCAACACTGAGGTCTTTGCTGCTATAGGAAAGTGGCTTAGGGGAGATATCTAGAAGGCAGCAGCTGCTGATACTCACACTGGCTACTTTTCTGCTGTGGCACATGCCAAAAGCAGGAGGGCGGTCACTTGACCCAACGACTGGTTCTTAAAGAGCATTTAGGGCATTTATTTATTCAATTTATATGCCGCCCAAACTACCCAGAGGTCTCTGGTCTCTTAAAGAGCATTTAGGGCAAAAACAATTAGTCTGGGTTTGGCAGCAACTCCTGGCAGTGGATTGCATGTGTGTCTGTTATCAGTGACTGGTGGGGACTCTTGATTCCACAGGGGCAAAATATCCACCCCAGAGTTTATTACACTGAATATTACAAGAGCTATCCAAGGTGCTGAATTGTGACCAAAAAACCTGAACTGATTCATGACACCATGCAATCAATACCCTACCACTATGCCTTTTGATCTGCATCTTAAGACAAATCTTATGGTGTGTGTGTGTGGCGGGGAGAGCAGAGGTATCCTGAAGGGATATGGCCAGTAGGTGCCTTACCTTCTACACAACGGCATCCAGACTGCAGAACCCAAGCATACATGTCAACTCTGGATTGAGACATCAGCTGATCCCCCATGAGGTAGGTGTTATGCGAAGAGGTGATGAAATAGTGACTCAGAGGTTGAGTCATGTCTTGGTTGACGTGGTAGTGTTCTGGGTTGAATATGTCACCAGCCGGGCTGCGCATGTAATTGGTGAACCCTGTGTAGAGAAGATCAGATTTGTTGACTCCTGATGGGTGATGGCACTAGCGTTGCTACAACACTGGAGATCAGGATACAAATTAATAATACTTTTAGAACTGCAGAGCCAGAACGGACTCTAGGGATCATCAAGTCCAGCCCCTCTCAAGGAGGGACTGTGGGGGACTGAACTCCCAGCCTCTGGCTCTGTAGCCAGAGACCTCAACCACTGAGCTACTTAAGCTGACTGGTTGAGCATGGGCTAGTCAATATTTCTCCACCTAACTTAACTCTCAGGGTTATTGTAATGAGAAAAAGATGAGGGAGAGAACAATCAGTCTTGCTGCCCTAAATGCCTTGGAACAGCTGTATTTATGGATGATGCTGAGTGTTAACTATTATTCCATTCAGAGTTACTTATTCATTATTTATTGCTAGATGAGGCCATAAGGCATTGCAGGAGGCTTTGAGAAATTTCTTACCCTAGATGAGAAAGTGGGATGGAAGCTGTCTTCTAAAAAGACAATGAAACACCTTTTCTGGGATGGCCTATCTACAGTTTTTGTAAGCATTTCTTTTTTTATCCTAAAAAAAAGCCACATCACCTTAAATAATCAAGGAAGCCTTCTCAATTGGTTGAAAACTGAAGTAATCAACTACTTTCTGCACATGAATTCAATTTTCAGAAGAGCCACAATTGAAATACCCATTTTGGCTCATCTAGAGCTTGGGAAAAAGTTAATTTATGGATCATAACTGTCAGAATTCCCTTAGAAGGCAAAGACCTGGGAATTTTTTTGGATTTGTAGTCCAAAGCATGGCCAAGTTCAAATTATTGACATTCCTTTGGTCTCATGGTCTTGCATCTCACCCTTGACAGGTATGATGATTCTGAAATGGAAAAAGGCAATTGCAGTATAACCCCCTCTTTCCAAACTTCTGTCTCATTTTTTCCTACACATCTTCTTTCTTCTCCCAAAGGTTTCACAATCCTCAAACTGTATGTCGAAATTCAGAGAACAGAGCCTCCAAATGACATCTCAAAATGTCCTAAACAAACAAGTGGCTCCTTTAGAGACCACATTCCACCAGGTCTGAAGCAGTCACAGGTTTTTGGAGGTCGATCAAGGGGGCTGTATCCTTTGCCTTCGGCTTATATCTTTGTGAGACTCTTCAGACAACAGAGCAGAAGTCCCTGTCCTATTATTCAGCAGTTCTTAAAATGCATGAATGATTTTCTTTGTAGGCAATGTGCTGTTGGCATCACACATGTGCGAATTTCTGAGCTCTGATATATTTGTCTTTCAACAAGTGTCAGGATGCGCACAATGTGAGCAATTTGGATGAAATTTCAACAACAGTTGTTTCCCAGTCCTACCAAAGAGTGGGAAAATGGAAGGCTTAGAGGTGAAATATAGGGAATTCACTGATGTATTTCTATTCACTGAAGAATTATAGATAAGTAAAACCAATATAGGGACTGGCCACAGAGGTGGTCTGCTAGATTCATAACTGCCAAAGGCTAATGAATTTTGCCATGCCATGATTCCAATTATTCTCAAAGGATAGAAGTTCAAGCATTCTGTTTAGAAACAAGTATCTCCAGCAAATACACCGCTGAAAAGTGCATTCTTTTACACGATCTTTCAATGAGTCTGGTCCATGGAGAATTAATTAAGCCATGAAGCCTTCTGTGAAGACTGAACTGAAATCTGAAAAACCACTTATGAGAGGGAATAAATATCCTTTAGTCTTTTTTAAAAAATGTGATCAAAACTTTCCCTGGGCTTAACTAAATCACGGTTCAAGTGGCCCCACTTGGAGTGACAGATGAGTGGATTTCAATCAGGTAAAAACTTTCTAAAGTTGGCACAGGAGCCCACAATAATACCCCTTTATACGATTTCTCAGGGCTGCTGGAAAGCAAGGCTGAAATTTGCAAAACCTTCCATCAAGCCTTCCTAACTATTTGTTATTGGCTTTCACCCTTTTTTCCAGTGGGATGAACCGCATCGTTGGACTCTCTCGACAGCTCTGTTTGGTCCAGATATTTCCTAATCTTCCCCAACAGGCTTTTTCGCTCTTTTTTCCCCCCTCCTTTTTTTGGGGTGGTTTGACTTTGTGTCTGCTCTTGGTCTGTGACAGCTTTGTCAATTTTTGTTGCTATGGACTCCCTAGCAACTGGACCTGCAAAGTAGCACTATGCATTCACCTTGGGTTTCTCATGGTGTATATATATATGAGAAACCCAAGGTGAATGCATAGTGTTACTTATATATATCTCCTTCCTGTCTGCAGCCACATTCAAGTCACCTTTTCCAAGAGGTTGACCTCTTGGATATCAGCATATGGAGATTATTTAGTAGCTGAGATTGGGCTTCACCACACGGTTTGTGAGCCTCTACCCCTCTCCGAACAACGGAGCACTTTGTCATCACTAGGAGTAGGAGTCCCATTGCCTGAAAATTAACCGGGCTTTTTCAGTGCATCTGAGTTTGAACACTCAAAACACACCTTCAAGCCTGGGTCATTCGCAGCTCTAATTTCCTGTGGTTTCACTCTTCTCCCTGACAGCTGTGCTCTTTTCTAGGAAAGGAAGGAAATTTTGTTGGATTCAACAGTCTTGATGAAAAATCTTTTTTTTTCTCCTTTGCATCTCTAGAGACTCAATATACATTCCTGACTCAGGAATTTGCACATTTATGAAGCTTATAAGGTAAGTCAGAGAAGTAGACTTGTGCATAAAACAGAGGACATATTTTGAAATGCAAATACCATAATGCACATAATTTGAAACATACACACACACACACACACACACACACACACTTTAGTCACAGGGGAGAAGTGCATAAATTAGGTAAAATCCATTAGTAAATGACTACAATATGTAAAATCCATGAATAAATTAGGGGGGAATGAAGTTGTCTATGAAGTTCAGTGCTGCAAAAGAAAAGTCTCACAATCTTACATATGAAACAAATATAGGAATAAAACATGAGTGGGGTGTATTTATCTCAAGTCTACTCCACGCAGGCCCTTTTTCAAGAAGATTCCAGGATAACTGAAAATAATACAAACCACGGTTGATAAATAAACTAAAACTATCAAGAAGATTCCAGGATAGCTGAAAATAATACAAACCACGGTTGGTAAATAAACTAAAACTATCTGTCTGTCTGTCTGTCTGCCTGCCATTTTATTTTTATGCCACCTATCTGGCTGAATTATGTGCCGTCGGGTTAATTCTGACTTATGGCAATTTTTTCCAGATTTTTTTAAATGTACAAAGTGCTTAGAAGTGGTGTTCCATTCTTCTGGGGGTTGCCTTCAGACTTTGCAGCTTGCCCAAGGCCACACAGGCTGGGAAGCACAACGGGGAACCCAGCTCTCAGCCTCTGGCTCTGGAGCCAGTTACCCAGGTCACAGAGTTATTTAGTCACCTTGTGTGATAAATACCAGCGTGGAAAAAGAAACTTGCGAAATACTTCATTATGTACTTACTTGAAGCACAGATGTCAGGGGAAAAGGGGGGAGTTTGAGAAGAAATTTTCAGGGATAACAGATGGGACAGAAGAAAGTTGAAAGAAAGCTGGAGTAAAACACTGGCAAATGAGTCAGTTCTTAGACGGAAGATTAAGGAAGAGAAGCCAATTAAGCAGCTGAAAGCAGATATCAATGAGTTAAATTGGCTACTGAGTAATGGAGTTTAAAGGCAAATTAAGCATTTTATTCCCACCGACCCACCCCGTTATATGTCTGGAGCTTCATGCTCCACCCCTATTATTAAAGATGGTGTATACACCAAAAGAGTTCATGGTTGTTTTGTTTTATTTCATTACACATTTGATGCACATTTACCAGTAGTTGTTGTTCTCCCTTTTTTCTACGTTTGGAGATGCGAGGATTGCACCACCCATGCATTGATTTGCAACACAATTCTGCCCTCCCCCACACACAGTATATTTTTCAAAAGAAGAGGAACACATTCTTTTCTTGGAAGGCAATTGGACTAGAATAGCATGTGTTTTTTTCCTCCAAGATGATGCACAGGGATTTTATTGTAATATATTTTATTTTTGTTGGTCCATGTGATCTCAATCCAGGTATTGGTCCCCAACTAGAGCCAACCCGTAGAATCAATGGGACTTGATAGGATAGCTCAGTGGTTTAGGTCTCTGGCTGTGGAGCCAGAGTTTGGGAGTTCAATTCCCCCACTGGGCCTCCCTGACAAGGGCTAGACTAGATGATCCACAGAGTCCCTTCCAGCTCTGAAATTCTAAGATATTAGTCATTATTTCATTCAACCACGGTTTAGAATTTATTGACTCAGTGGCCCTACTTCAATTGGGTCCAACAATGGAATTTAGCCCTTAGTTTAATGGATATACATCCCATCAGGGGGTTCTGTGACAGACAAATGTAGTTAAGAAATTGACAGCAACAACATCACCCTGGAAAACAGAAGAAGACAGGACCAATTAAAGAGCAGTGAGAAAAGCGCCTATGCTTTACATCGCGTCAGACGATATGAAATCATCTCACGTCCTGTCACTCTCTGTTCCGCCCGTGAAAGCAACAGGACACCTACCGTCAATCCCAAGAGCTCCTTGCTTCTTATTCTCTGGACATGGTTCAAATTGATTGATAATTTCCAAGCAATGATCCTTGGTCACATTAGTCATCTGAAAACATAGAAGAGATTCATTTTTTTAAAGGCAGAAGGCAACAGAACAAGAAATCTCCTGATTCAACAACGTGCTTCTTCCTCCAGTTGTCTCTTTGCACAGAATTCTCCAACTGGACTGTTTTCTCGTCGTGCATGAGATAGCGCCCCCCCTCCATCCCTTTCCAATTGTCCAATGAGATTCCCGTTCCTGCCAATCAATGTCAGCTTTGATAAGGATCAGGTTGCATGGTGTCAAAGGCATGGCCCCATCAAAAACTACCAGCCTCCATCTCCACCAAATGCATAGCCCAGACTGGATGTGTCACGTCACTTTCATCCCAAGTGGCCTCAAAGGAGCATTTCGAAAATGCAACACCAAATTGTCCCAGCCTCCTGAACACATCCTTGGGGCAAGATAAATAATTGGTTTAGATATTCCCCCCCCCCAAAAAAATACAAGATGTCTGGATGCAAAACAAAAGGAAGACAGTACATAGTTATAACAACGTGAGCCTCCCAAAGCAACCCAGATGCAAGGCATTAAAGTTACGAGGTAAGTGCTAATTCGAAAAACATGGTCTGCAACTGAGCTTTCAAATCCAGGAGGATCCTTCATCAGGGTGGGCACTGCGCAGATAGAGGAGAAGAGGGGAGAAGAAAGGGAAGTTCAAAAATCACACTGACCAAATGCTGCAGTCTCAGGATCTGTGTTTGTGGACTCAAGAAGGGGATGCCAAACTTGTTATAAGCAAGGCTGGTTTCTCTTCTCGCCCCTGTGCTTCCAGTCAACAGGAGCTGCTGTATGTTATATGCCATCAAGTCAGAACGATCTTTTAGGGACCCTAACAGGGCTATGGAGGTACGTGAGATAGTTAAAGAGTGATTTTTGCCACCTCCACACACTCCCAGTGAGTTTCCATGGACAAGTGGAGATTTGAGCCAAAGTCTCCTGAATCCTGGTCTGCTACTCTATCCACTACATCACAGCAGGTATCAGACAGGAGCCACGTGCTTGAAAATAAGGCAATGGCAAAGGTACCAGTCAACTGGCAGGTGACAACACCTTGTCCCCAGAGATGAGGCAAGACGATTTATCCAACACTGTCTGGGGTGAAACTTTAATACCTCAAGCTGAAGCAACAAGCTTGCAGTTTCCATCTTGGGACATCATTTGAACTATCCAACACTGTCTGGGGTGAAACTTTAAGCTTGCAGTTTCCACCTTGGGACATCATTTGAATTCACATCTTGGCCATGCGGCATCCGATCAGGAGGATTATTGATCTAATCTGTTTCACTCCACGGCCCAATAATTCTGGGATGTATACATAGTCCCGAAGATCAACAGAAGACTCCCTTTCATTGCAAGGAGAAAACTGACTATGCTCCATCATTTAGCAGATGAGGACAAATTAGGGCCTTGATTTATGCCCTTCCTATTTGGGTCTGAGACCTTGCCTTGGGGAGAAGCAGCGGGTGGTTCCAACCAGACGTGGGCAAGGTCGCAAGGGCAGGGAACAAAACACATGCTTTTGTATACAGCTTTTGTACTAGAACAGCCCTGGAAAATTTGGAGGACAGTGCAATGGAAAAGGGAACTGTGTTCTGGATCACACACTAGTCCAGGCAAGGTGGATTGGGTTGGTTCACACCAAGAGGCAGACCGAATAAAATTCTCCCCTGTCTTGAGCTACAACACTTTGGAGGGCACAGTCTCCTCTCCAGAAAGATGGTTTGCTAGAAGGAAGCTCAGATAGCCTTTGTCTTCCTGATTGTGTTCATAGACTGACTCACGTGGCAACAGTTTATTTATTTTGCCCCCCTCTCTACATCAGGCAGATCAATAAGCCGCTGACACGGAAACCGATGCTAACTTGCTTAGAGGAGCAGCAGGCGCAGATAAGATTATCATCCGTGCAAAGGACAGATTTGAAATCTCCAGCAGACCATGAAAAGGCAGGCGGAGAGTTACTTAGGAAAAGGCGAGCTATGGAAATGTATATATTAGAGACTTCTCAAAGCGGATCGCTAAGAGGCAGGCAAGAATACAGAAAACCTGGCTGATGTGGCACAAAAGAGCAAACAGTTCTCCCCGTTTAAAAAAAAAATCAGGATTGGCTCTGCATATTCAGGGGTCAGGAAAGACTCTCTGCACATGTTCAGAGGCACCACCACAGTTACTGCTTCACATGCTCCAGGCTTGTTTTGAGTGCATAAAACAAGTGCAGGGGTCTGTGAACAATATTCCCCCCCCCACATTGCTTTTTGAATTTATACAGATGATTTGACAAAATTGTTCCACGCAAGGGGGAGAGAGAATGAATGACTTATTGATAGATTTAGGTACAAGCAATATTCATGAATGTTCAGCCCACTGTCTCAGGGAGAGAGAGAGAGACGAGCAGCAAGATCATTGGCATTCTTTCCAATGAAGGCTGGATGATGCACACACAGGACGTGAAAAGCCACAGGAGGTTTGCTGCGTGGATGATGCCACTCCGGCACTGCCAGAGGCTGAACAGCAGCAGGTTTGTTCTTTTTTTCATGAAAGCTTTGAACAGATCGTCAGGGTACAAGAGCTGCCCTCTTTCATCCTGCAGCGGAGGTTGTCTCGATACAAATGGCGACCCCTACGTAAGCGACAAGAAAGTTGCCGTTGCCCTCATTTAAATGCAAAGAACAAAAACATTAATTCAGAGAGACGGAGCACGCGTCGCGCAATGGAGAGTTGTGAGATTAGTTTACTGCCATTTAATTGACAGCGCATAAAGTGCTCCAAAGCAGGCACAACATTTTGCCAGGGGAAAAAAAGGAGCTAGTCTTCTTTAGATTCAGTTGTTTCCCTAATGTAGTGTGTGTTTGGGGGGGGGGTTGCATCTCTCAAGACTTGCTGTTATAAGAAATGCCCTGACCTTGAAAAATTCCCCATATTTCTGTGCTTCTCCAGTGCATCCAGAGGAAAGGCTATGTTTTTGTTATTTATATTTACTTCTGCGTAGTTTGCTTTAACCGTCTGTAAACTGCCCAGAATAGTGCTTTGGCACTAATGGGGTGGTAGAGAAATCAAAGTAATAAATAGATAAATAGATAAATAGATAAATAGATAAATAAATAAATAAATAAATAAATAAATAAATAAATAAATAAATAAATAAATAAATAAAACTGCTCACAACAACTATTTTAAAACATGGGCAGCGGGGAGGGGAAAGGTGCATTTGTTTTTTTTTGTATCTTTGCCGTGATAGGAGTTTTGTGCAAAGCATATTTTGAGGAAATTGCAGAAATTGCTATAACCCATTCTTACATTTAAAGCATCTGGGTTTTGATGGTTGTTGTGGGTTTTTTGGGCTCTTCGGCCGTGTTCTGAAGGTTGTTCTTCCTGACGTTTCGCCAGTCTCTGTGGCCGGCATCTTCAGAGGACTGGAGTAGGAACTCTGTCCGTGCTCTGTTGATGTTTGTCAGATGGTTGAGTATTTCTAGCTGTGGGAACAACTATAAATACTGAACTTTTTATCAAGGTTTTGTTTTGTTTGCTTTTCCTGGAAGGAAGATCTATTGAGAGTAATGGAGCAGCCTTGAGTTGCCAGTCTCATCTAGAACTTCACTCATGGTTAGATCCCTTCACAACATTGGTTCTCTGAGTTTTTCTGCTCATAAACTTGGCTGAGTTTGCATCGTTCTCCTTTGCCACCATCATCTCCAGATTTGCCAGCTGGTGAGAAAGCAAGGGAAAGTTTGGCCAGCACAAGCCAGCAATTTCATGCTCTTCTTTACCGAATTTAATTAATACTATCTCCCTTCTAGAACAGTGGCTCCACACTTTGCACTTGAAAAGAACCTTTATAATGTTTGTTCTCTCTTCAAAGTCATTTTCCATGTTTGTCATTTTTTTTTTGCCTTCACTAACGTGCATATAAAACAGAAATATGTCCTGTAAAAAGAAGGTCATTTTTGATTATCTGGGAACCTGTCCAAGAAGTGGGTTTTTTTTTCCTTCCCCCTCCCTTTCTTTCTCTTAAGAAATCCTTCTCAGTTTTGATAGTAAACAATAATGTCACGGCGCTTGATGAAGACATAAGCGTTTGGACTAGATAGTCTGTTCCTTACAGGAGAACATCAGCAAGGATGTGACATCAGAATTAAAAAATGGCCCTGTTTTTGACAGCAGACATTTTTTGTCTGCTATTAGACCTTTTAGAAGGAACACACACACACAGGATGGTCAAAGGGACAAACTAGATCTTGCTTATGAAATTTGTACTTATTAGGGCTGTTAAACTCTGTATAAGCTTTGGAAAATGTGCAAAACATAAGTGCACATTTCAATTATGTGCAGAACTATGTGTTAGTCAGTGGAGAAAATACATACAAAAATGCTCATATTGCGGGGGAAATGCTTGAAAGAGGGAGGATGCAAAAAAAAAGTTCCACAGGTTTCTTTGAATGAAGAGAAATGATTAGAGAAACATTAGGCTGGCAGTTCTGTCATTGTTTCAAAGCTGCAGCAAAACGAAGGAAGAATCTTGCAGCATCTTGAAGACTCAAGACATGTTACAGGCGATGCAAAGGAACCTGTGCCCCAGTTGAAATTGGAAACTAAATTTTCCTTCTGCCAGTGAGAGCAATTTGATGGTTAAAAACCTGAGGGTGGCTTGCTTCCAGCAAAGCCTTCTGACTGACCATTGACAACCTACATTGCACAACATCACTTGAATGCCTCCCCAAATTCCTTGCCCACAAAAGGAGAGGGGAAGTCAATTTGAGGGTGATATGTCTGTCCGACCCTGCAAAGAACAAATGGGAAACACACAAATGGAAGGGACTGAGCAAGAACAAGAGAGAAATGAAGTCTCAAAAGAAGAAGGAAAGGCCAGTTTGCGCCCTGAACAAACAATGGGAAATCATAGGAAAGGGAGTTTTGATTGAACTTTGAGAGAACTGATTTGTGCTAATGAGCCATTCAGCAGTCAAACCAAACTCCCTTAGATGATGGCGGACGGTCTATTAGCAGGTTTTAAGCAGAAGCTTGATGGCCACCTCTCAGGGGAAGCTGTATCAGCTGATTTCCTACATCAGAATGAGATGAACCAGAAGATCTATAAGATCTCTTGCAGTGGTGTGATTTTATGATTTTGGGATTAGTACAACGGTCAGAAACCAAAGGAATTCTAAACCCAAGCGGGGGACCCACCTCTTAGCAGCCTTTTTTGACTTCTTTCTCAGAAGGGGGAAGATCAGGTGACCTCCAACAAGCTCACAGGACATCAGAACTTGAAATCCTCAATGCCTACCTTTTGTTCCGTGTCCAGGAAGCGTCGCAAGTCATCGACATCCAAGTAGTCCTTGTGGTTGCTGTAGGACAACATGAGCAGATACAAGTCACGCCTCGTTGACATCATCTTGTAGAAGGCGCAGAACTCCTCAAAGTCCAGGGTCCCTTGGTTATCATCCGTGTCTGCCTCCTGATATAATGGGGGGGGGGGTTGAGAACAGTAATTAACCTCCATTCTTCTCCTCTTAAGAAACATCACAGTCTGTGAATTTCGGCGCTGGGCTGAGTTTAGGATGCCAACCCACTCTTGCAAAGAGCTTTGTTTCTGTTTACGCTTGTTGGTATATGCTGTCAAACTCCTCCTTATGTTTACCCTCGTAGGGTTTTTGAATATATGGAATCCTTAAGGAATGGCTTGCCACTACCACTCACAGTGAGTTTCCACAAGCACGCCAGGATAGAAACCCGGGTCTCACAATCTCTAGTTCGACACTCTCTCCACTACCCCATACTGACTCTTATTTATTAGATACATTTATATCTCATCTGTTCTCCAGTGATTTCAAAAGGCAAAGGTCACCCAGGGAGTTTCATCACCCATTAGAGACTAAAACATGGACCTCCCAAAGTTGGGAGCCTCTCAAGCATCCAGCGAAAATCATGGGGCCTCTCAAGCACAGGGTTCCCTGAGACAATCCCAACCCCGTTCCTGCCAAACCCCTAAAACAAGACGTTGAGAAGAGAGCTGGATTGAAAATGTCTCCTAAAGGCAACACCTCAGTTACGTTACCCCTAGTAGGGCGATTTGTCTTCTCCAACAGGAGAGTGGGAAACCACGCAGAAAGTTTGGTGGGCCAATCCTACCCACCTGCTTTTGCACCCCTCCTTCCTTGTGTGAGACCGTGCCTGAAAATGAGATGGTTAAAAGCCTGCAGATTCTTTTGACCTTCTATCTGTTCCGGGAAAGGCAAGACTCGGCTCCAAGTCAATTCTTTTCATTGAACATCTCCCCCATTATGAAACTTCTTGGCCATTATGGCAAGTCCTAATCACCCCTTTGACGTCTCCGATAGAACCAATGCTCTTGTAATGAGTTGTGAATTGCTAGCTTGCTTCCAGGAGGACTCCCAACAATGATCTCCTTCCTAATTAAGCTCCATTACGATAACAGAACAGACCGGAGTACAACTTTGCCAAGATAAATAAACAATGCAAATCAATGGGCTTAAATGATTTCACATTGTATCTTTTAATAACATTTTGCTGCTTCCACCAAGCTTCCTCTCCACCCCCACCTCTATCGTCCTACTGATCATTGATCCACTGGCTTTGACTGCGAAACATTCAATTCTATTTTCAGTTTTGCCAGCTTTCATACTCCATTAGCATCTGCCAGCATGGAACAGAAAGCAACAGCAGCTTTCTCGAGTTCCTGAGAATATGCAAGAGGTCTCTTACTTATGTAACCAATAAGTGCCATTAAACATGAAAGGTTCCTATTGGCCCTTCACTCCAAGAACAACAGTTGTTTGTTTACAAATTCAAACCAAGTTGAGGTTTTGGTAATAAAATGCTTGTAAGCCAGAGAGCAGCTGGCAAAGCGGAGCCCGTCTACACAACCGATCCCAATCCCATGGGTATGCCTTCTCTTCCCTCCATCTTGCCCGGTTCTGCTACCTCATTGTAGCTTGGAGGTGTGTGAAGTGCAGAGGTGGACAATTTGTAATATGTGGGTGCAGGCAACCTTAGGGGCCCATACACAGTCCACAACAACCCTAGGCCATGCAGAGCCCTCTTACTTTCCCCCTCTAATTCAGGAAGAAATTGATACAAAAGGTCATTTTATGACCTCTAGGGCATGTAGAGGACAATTTGGCCATGTTTTAAGGGGCTTCCCATCCCCACAACAGGGCTTGAGGATGCTTTTTTTTCAGTTTAACCATCCCATTTCCATACAAATTGTGAGGAGATGGGGAGGGTGCACAGTCCTCCACAGTCCAGGGCAGGATGTGTACAGCCAGTGGACATATGAAGCTTGACCACACCACTCTACTCTCTTGAAGGCTATGCCAATGGAGTGCAAGCTTTCCCACCTTCTGCTTTAACCATCCCATTTCCATACAAATTGTGGTAAAAAGCTGGTAAAGCTTTGGCTATGGCCACAATGCAAGAGTACCATCTAAGAACTGGCCTAGCAGAGGAGAGAAAGCTACACTACAAAAAATATTGACTACCTGGTGTGCTAAACTGGCTATAGAAACTAGGAAGCTGATGGCTAAATCTCTCCTTAAATTAAATCTGGGATTTTACCCACTGGCAAGGGGTGGGGAGATGCTCGGTTGGCAGCAGAAAGAGGAAACAGAGGCACCACTGCGCCCAGCAGATCTTGTGTCACCACCTGATATCTTAGGTAACCTGCTGTATTCTAGCACCCAGGTAGGACTGGAGCACCAGTCTCCCTTTCATGAAACCCTCCCACTAATCTCAGCCTACTGGGTCTACAAATTGGCAGCTCCATATCTGACACTACAGACCATTAAGAGAAACGAATGTGTGGCTCTGTACTACCCTTGGAGTTCTTTACCTCCTCACTGAAGCGGCTGTTCTAGCCAAATAAAGTGGCCCCTCCAATGGAGTAGTGAACTCACAGGAGGGCACTGGGTCCAACCAGAATCTATCAGGTTCTATCCTGGCAACCATACATGCAAATTCAACAGTTAAATAAATGCTGGAATACGAAAGATAATTTATACAACACATGCTTTAGCTATTCACCACAAAATCTTCCATCAGCTTATAAAGAAGGGCTTTTTAGAAAGGCTCAGTAGAACGTATTTCAACCTTCTGTGTACAAAGCCAGTTACCAAGAAGCTGGTTGGGGATTTGGAAGGAGGACCAAACAATACCCATCATAAAATGAGGCCAGCTTCTAAAAACATTGAAAACAATTTGAACAGGTCTTCCATACATGGCCAAGAAATCTAAAAGGAGAAACAATACTGGTGTATATTCCGCCAGAATAGATCAAATGGAATTTTAGAAAATACACAGAATTCCCTCAGTCGAAAAGCCACTGTGAAGTCTGTTCCACTAGAGAAGACCAAAACCAGCGAAAAAGAGTGGATTATAGCCTATGGCTACAATCAATCAATCATAGGTCTTCCATACATGGCCAAGAAATCTAAAAGGAGAAACAATACTGGTGTATATTCCGCCAGAATAGATCAAATGGAATTTTAGAAAATACACAGAATTCCCTCAGTCGAAAAGCCACTGTGAAGTCTGTTCCACTAGAGAAGACCAAAACCAGCCAAAAAGAGTGGATTATAGCCTATGGCTATAATCAATCAATCACTCAAACAAACAAACAAATTAAATACATAATTGCCTCCAAGACACAGAGCACATTCCAAACACAGCTAAAGTGTACTGGTCTTGCCTTACTGAAGTTTCACTTAAAATCAAACAGCAATTAAAAGAACAAGAGTACAAATGGATCAGAAAATCCAAACTGCAAAGCATGAAGATTTATCTCCATTCTTCACTGAGGGCCATTTTGGGACATTGTTTTTAGAATTAGGGGGAGACTATCTTGATGCAAAGAAGTGGTGGGCAGCTGATTATCATTCTGAAATGACTTTTTTAAAGCTCTGGACCAACTATATACACCTATTTCAAGTGGAGAAGTTGGGAATTATAAATATAAAGGTGGATGGTTGGAGTTGGACTTGGTCTCTATGAAAAGCATGTGCCTTGAGTGATGGCCCACACTCAGGATTACACATAATATAAACATGGGTGTTCCTCTTAAATATTATGAGAAATATCTCTGGATAAACAGAGCTATGCTCAACATATCAATTTTTTAAGCTGTCTAAAATCCCAGCCTTCATCATATCTTGCAGCAGTGAATTCCACAAGTTAACAACACGCTCCACAAAAAGTACTGGGAGTTTGAAAATCTTCTCTATTGGCTGCTCTCCATATGCCCCAGTTATTTTGCAGAAAGACATATGGTCAAAAAGACCAGGCCAGTTGACATCGCTTATAGCTTTGTGACAGACAAGATTAATCATGCCATCCTAGATTGGATGCATGCAGTTGGGGCATTTAGCTGCTAAATGATACCATCAATTCTGTTATGATTTTATAGCTTTCTGTCCTGTACGCTATCCTTTTTATTAGACATTGTCTGATTTCCCTGGAGCGGGAAAGAAATTCACTGAAGACAATGAAACAGCACCATGGACAGCAGCAGTACGCTGAAGGGAACCACAGTCTAAAATCCACTCCTATTTTAACTCTGGACTGGCCAGTTCAGACAGATGGATCTTAGGGGAATAGCATACAATGCTGCCTTATACATAGTACTTCTATGTACCACATTGATCCATCTATTATTTTGTTTCATTCTGTTTATACTCTGCCTTTCTCTCAAGGAAACCTGCAAAACATACATACATATTAAAACATTAAATAAAAATAGGACCCGTTTTGCTTACACAGTGGTGGAAGCATTTGCCTCCTCCTTCACACAGCTGGTTGTGCTCTGGTTGCAAAATCAGGTGCCCAACCAACAACATGACCGACTGCCCAAAGAGGAGCTTGCTGGAGTTCCTTTTATTCATTCACCAAGACTCGGCCATTCAAATCACAAACACAGAGGCATTAGAAGAGTCTACTGGAACAGAAAAGTTGAATCCTCTGCTAGAAACACCTTTCTTGGCATCCTCTTCAGCTTGTCAAAAGCTTGTCTGAACAGAAATGTCTGCCTGTTGGTGGAGGGACATGAAGGAAGCGGGGCTGGCCTCCCCTCAAAGGGAGTTCCACAGCCTGGGAGCTGCCCCTGAACAGGCCCTCTCTCAGATCCTAAGTGAACCTGCCTCTGATGGCAGTAGGATTAGGGGGGGAAAGGACCACCCCCGAAGAACATAAAACCTGATGAGGTGCAAGGTTGCTCATCAAAGTCAGGACTGTCTACTCTGACCGCCAGTAGCTTTCCCTTATATAAAGTGGAGGTATTTCCCTATTAGAAATTCCCACAGCTCTTTCTGGTGAGCCATTCAACTGCAAAGGGCAGCTTCTCAATGAAAGCTAGGAGAGTAACTCCCCTCAGCAGTCTGATCACTTTGCATGAACAGGTATAAAAGGATGTCTTCTTATAGGTTTCCTGGATTTTGTTGTGCTCAA